CTGTCCCTCTTGTGACTGTACCCTCAGCATATGTCACAGGGTCTGGAACATGGGGGGGGGGGTACGGTAAATACCTGCATGATGGACAGATTACTGTGAAGCTGTAGGCCAGTCCCCACCTTAGTCTCATTAACCCGGTATCTGTCCCTCTTGTGACTGTACCCTCAGCATATGTCACAGGGTCTGGAACATGGGGGGGGGGTACGGTAAATACCTGCATGATGGACAGATTACTGTGAAGCTGTAGGCCAGTCCCCACCTTAGTCTCATTAACCCGGTGCTACAGAAGTACCACTTCTCTAAAAACAGCAGCCCAAAATCTACAGGTTGGCTATGAAAAACACACAACAATTTTCAGCATCACTTGAATCAGGTGGCACCATCAAGCAAACACAGGACTGTTTAGCTCCACAACCCATTGTGGAGCATGAGGAGGGGTCTGGGACGGTTCCAAAAACACGAGGCCTTTTTTCAGTTGTTATGGGCAAACCATGACTAATTTCATTAATTTTCCTTCTTAGTTCCAACTACGGGCTACTTAGAGTAAGCTTCTAAATGAAGATCATTAAAAGTTGGCATTTGGATACTAAAATTAGCATGTCAACTCTACTAAAACTCTACGTCAGTGTTCCACTAGGAAGCCTGGCTGCCCCGAAACCCCTGGCAACCTGGCAAAACTCCCATGTGTGCCCACGTGCCAACGGCTGGAATTCCCACTATTTGCAGGAAGGCGGCTTTGTTAGCAGTGAATTATCAGCCTTATGTGGAGTTGGTCATGCTGCTATTCTTGCCTTTTTTTTACTTTTAATAAATTACTTTTAGTTTAGCTTTATTATTATCAAGTCAGTTTGTTTGGGGGTTGGGGGTTAACCTTATAATATTTAGAATATACTGTACTGAAAATACTGTATATTTGCTTTAACATTATTTTGGGCCTATCATTTTCCAGTGACTGAGATGTCAATATATGCATTGTATTTAAGTATTCCATTGCAACAGCAGATGTATATACAACCCACTCAAAATTTTGTTTGTGCAGTGATATTTCACTTGTGACATGTTTGTAAACTGATGCTATTTAAATTACTTGCAACATAATCTCAATACAAGTAAACAAATAGTTTTACATTTATAGGATATTGTTTTATAATACAAGTTCTTGAGTACAAACTCTGCAGTATTTGTATTTTATTTATCTACAGATCATTCTTACTGTGTTTTGTTTCCCAGTTGAAAGCGGGGAGGGCAGATGGGCCCAGAGTCTTTGCACGCCTTAAACTTCTCCATTCAGAGCAAGCAACTGTGCCAATATCTGTGTCATTTTCAAGAAGAACAAATGCTGCCCAAGGGTTCTCCAAACATTTGCAAAATGACATCAGGCCCACCAAGTTTTACCAGAACCAAGGGAAAGCGCCACAAAAGTATACTCTGCCTACAATCCTGCCGCACAAACGACCCCAGCATCTTCCAGCTCCTTTCTTGTCCCAGATTTTTAAATCTCGGCACCAGAAAAAAAAAAGACTGGCCAATTAGCTCAATCAGCAGAGCATGGTGCTGATAACACCAGGTCAAAGCTTCTGATACCCATATGGGCCAGCTGATAAAAAAAAAAACTTGGCCCCAAGATAAGCTGAAGTCTAAGGCATCAACCACCCCTCCTATTCCGACTCCCACTCCCACCCAGAGCCTTGTCCAGAGACAGCTCGTCCCAGCCTCAGACCTAGGAATGGGAGTGTCTGTGGGCTTCGTGGGGTGAGGAGATCTTCCCCGATCCTTTTTATGCTACTCCAGGAGTCTTCTGTGACTTTTCAGGGGCCTTCAGAAGAGCTCAGGGCCTAAACCAGCTGAACCCAGCTTCCCCAAGAAAGTGAATCTGAGCCTGGTGGATCCTGTCCATCCTTCACCCAGAACAGACTCTGGAAAGATGTCCCAGAGGGAGGGTTTGGACTTCCAGACCCAAGTCACCTAAGCGGGCACCAGGTCTCATCCCCACCTCAACCATTCCATTCCAGGCCAGAGGCGTCACAGATTCAACCAGCAAGCCCTGGCTATCTGATGTTTCCTCCCTCTGTTCCCTGGAAAACCCTCCCCTGGCATTCCATACCTAGGGGTCATGTTCTGTTCTGGGAACTGCCAGTGGTGGCAAGAGATGGAGCAGTGGGTGCCAGGGCAGCGAGAGTGCAGCAGAGGCAAGATCCATGGGACTTTGGAGGCTTTGCCAAAGCTCTGGGACTGTTCCCAGATGATGTGAGCCTTCAAGAGTCAGTGCATCTCCCTGGGCAGACTTCTGGGTTTGCTGCAAAATGAAAGACATCAGGCAGACAATGCGCTGAAGCCTCCCTAGCAGCTTAAGCTGAGGGCTAACTATGCAACAGACTCACTCCCTGTGTCTTCCCCCTTCTGCTTAACATGTGCCCTTGTGGAGTGACCAGGATCGAGAAAGCAAGGACTAAGTCACAAGTTCAAGTCCCAGCCTTGCCACAACCTCAGGGTGTCCCCAAGCACTGCAGGCCTCAGTTTCCCCATCTGTAAAATGAGAGAAGTACACAAGATGGACTTGAAGGCTCTTGGTGGCCCTGAACCCTGTGTTTCTTTGAGTGTGTACATTCCCAAACCCACAAAGTTCCTTGTGTTACATGTGTGAACTGCTCTCTAGGATACCCATGTAGCTGTCTGTGTCCTGCCACACATACATGAGGAGTCATGTGGGCCATACTGTGTGTATGTGCTGGGAGGAGGGGAGGCCCCAGAACAATGTCCTCCCTGCATCCCTCCTCAATAGGCGGAAACCACTGGCTTCCTCCCTTTCCTGCCTCCTGCCTCCTGTGTGCCAGCTAGACTGAGGACTGAAAGGAGAGAGGGGATGGGAAAAATCAGCCCAACAGTCCATTAGGTCGATCCTTACTATAACCCTCCCCCCAGGCCAACTGATCTCATTCCAGGGCCTGAGGGACCACACCCATCCCCAGCCTTGTGGGGGTCAGACAAGGAAGGCTCTAGAGGCTCAGAAGTGAGATAAGTCCTCCCCACCCCTCTCTCCTGTCACCCCTCCCACCTAGGCCACCTCATTTCCTCTTCCTCTCCAGCCCAATGCACACTGACCAGCACAGGCTGAGCCATCAGACCCATAGCCACTGACCCCAAGCCCAGCTTGTCCTGGCTGGCCTGGGTCAGCCTCCAGAGTATGGTCTGGCTGGGGCCCCTTTTCCTGCTCCCCATTCTCTTCCTGGCTTCCTGTGTTGGTAAGTCTTCCCCAAGCCCCTACCCCATTCCCAGTCCTCAAGGCTTTGATTTGCCCCCAAGAAACCCTATCACATCATAGAAACAAAGCGAAATGGTGGTTGCTATGGCTGGGGGGTGGGGGACTGGGGAGTGGTTGTTTAATGGGTGTAGAGTTTCGGTTTTACGAAATGAAAACAGTTATGGGATGAACGATGGTGATGGTTGTACAGCATTACAAATGCATATAGTAACACTGAACTTTATGCTTAAAAGTGGTTAAGATGGTAAATTTTATGTTACGTGTATTTTACCACTATAAAAAACTGAAAAAAGAAAGAAACCCTATCATCAGAGCCATCACTTTGATCCATTAGAAAGCAAGATCAGGGCCAGGAAAATCCTGGCAGGTGCTAGAAATCACCGCAGCTTGGGATTTGGGGGAGGGGAAAGAAATGGCCACTGACTGTGTGAGACCTTAGGATCCACAGGGAGCAGCAGGTCCTATGGGCCATGCGGAGTTTTCAGTTGGTGCTCATAGGGTCAGCATGTTAGATTCACTCAATTATTCATTGGAAAAACATTCGCTGAGCACCAACAGTATTCCAGGAGTTTTGCTAAGGGCTGGGCCATTAGTTGAGAGGCTGGCAGTCTCCAGATTTGTACAGAGAGGTTCAATGATGCTGACCTCCTTCGTTATGGAGTTGTGTTATGGGGTTTAAATGAGTAACACAGGCTGAGTGCCTGGTGCTTACTTAGGGTTTCTGAATATGTGGTGGCTTCAGTCTGCTGGTGAGAGGATTAGAACTCACAGGCTGCCTTTAAGTGGTTCATAGTCTAGAGAGGAACACAGGACATGGGGTGAGGATTAAACAGAGACATACACGGAGCACTGGGCAGGAGGAGTCAGCTTACTCTGGGTCTGGTTAAGTAGACGATTTCATTATGAGGGGTGGTCTTCATTCCAGGCATCCAGAACAATAAATTCAAGTGTCAGAGGCATGGAAGGACATGGGAGAGAAGCTTCATGTGGAGAAAGCAGCAGGAGGGGCAGAGTGTGAGCAGAGGGGCTCAGGAGCATGCATCTTATCCTGAGGGCAATGGGGAGCCATGGGAGGTTGCAGGCAAGAGTCACCAGGTCAGATCTGAGCTTTAGATGGATCACTTTGGAGGATGCGTTGGGGAGAAAGGGGATGAGGCTGTTCGGTTGGTCCAGGTGAGCAAAAATGAGGTATGAACACAGGTGGGCTTGGGAGACAGGAAGAAGTCAAGAAGCTTTTAGGAAACAATTTGCAGAATTCTTTGACTGATTGGGGCAGCCAACACAGTGCCTCAGGATCAGACAATCTGGATCTGCCAGTTAATAACTGCATGACCTTAGGTAAGTCACTTAACTTCTCTGAGCCTTCTTTCCGTAGCTATAAAATAGGAATAATGGTACCCACCTCCCAGGACAGTCAGGATGATAAAACAAGAGGACATTACTAAAGTTCCTGGTATACAACTGACGTCCAATAAACCATTAATTATTCCGACAGTGGGAGTATGAGATGACTCCACCGTTGGTGTCTCAGGTGGTGAGTGCTGCCCACTGAGTCAGGAACAGGGAAGAGGAGCAGGTTTAGGAAAAGCTGATGGAAATGCAGGTCCAAGCTGAAAGGTAATCCCAGAGTTTTTGACTCAGAGGTGATAGTTAAAGCTAAGGGAGTGGATGAGCTTGCTCAAGGAAGTGTGTAGAATGATTACTGTTACCCTTGTTACCCTCCTCTGTAAATGGAGGAGGATTACCAACTTTGCTGGAGGTTGTGAGACTCCATTGGAAAACAAGTGCTGGGTGCTTGGTAGGCGGTCAGCGAATGCTAGGCTTTCAAAGAATATTAACTGATAAGCTAAGTGGCATTTAAATGAATTAATTACTTGGCAATTTCCAGGTAGCAAAGGAGGGGCTCGGGAGGGCATGGGTCCTGGAGCTGAGACAGGCTCGCAGCCTCTCCATGTCTGGCCTGGATGCCTCACATGTCCTGCTTCAGCCATACCAAATCCGACAGTCCCTTCCCCATACCATAATATTCTTCATTCCGTGACTTTACCCAGGCTGTTCCCTCAGTCTAAAATGCCCAGGCTCGCAGCCTCTCCATGTCTGGCCTGGATGCCTCACATGTCCTGCTTCAGCCATACCAACTCCGACAGCCCCTTCCCCATACCATAATATTCTTCATTCCGTGACTTTACCCAGGCTGTTCCCTCAGTCTAAAATGCCCTTTCCCGGGCCGGCCCGTGGCTCACTCGGGAGAGTGCGGTGCTGATAACACCAAGGCCCCGGGTTTGGATCCCATATAGGGATGGCCGGTTCGCTTGCTGGCTGAGCGTGGTGCTGACAACACCAAGTCAAGGGTTAAGATCCCCTTACCAGTCATCTTTTTAAAATAAATAAATAAATAAAATAAAATAAATAAAATGCCCTTTCCCTACTCCAGACCTCTCTCCACTGTGTCCTCAAGCTTTACCTCCCAGGAAGCATCTCTTCAGCCCGCTACCTCCCCCTTTGCTGGGTCTGATGCCCCTTCTCTGTGCTCCAAGCACAGCCCCCTGCACTTAGCAGCTATGTCCACGTCTGTCCCCCCAACAAGGCAGGGAGCTCTTTGGAAGGCAAAGACCAAGATCCACCTTGTTCTTGGACTCCTCTGTGTCCATCTAGGCCCCAGGCCTGCCTCCTGTCTCTCGGCCTGGCCCCAGCTTGCTTCATTTCTGCTCCACAACCACCTAGTTGCAGAACCCAGCCTCTCCCATCTTCGATCCCAGTGCGCAAAGCATTTCTAGATTTCTGTGGTGGTGAAGAGGGGGACCCTTCACAACACTTCTGTTCGACACTTCTGTTCAGCTCTCCTAGCCTGGACCCTGGAAGGTGGGGGGCGGGGAGAAGTGGCTCCCGGGCAACCTTTGCAGAGCAGTTTTAGAGACAAGTGGAGAAAGGGGACTGATAGGGAATAAAGCAAGGAAACAGAGACAGGGAGCATAGATCATTCTTTCCAAAGCTGGGCTGTAAAAGGAAGTCACCCGGCAGGAGAAAGGAGGGGATGTAGAACCAGAGAAGGATTTCTGGTTTTCTTTCTGGTCTTTTAGGATGAAGACCCTTGAGGGAAAGGGGCTAGTGCACATGGAAGGGGAAAGGAGGGGGATGGAAAAGCCTGATAAAGTGAAGTGCCTTTGGGGTCTTAGGGAAGGGCAGGGGGAGGAAGAGGGGTGAAGGTGGTGGACACTCTTCAGAAGAGGCGGTGGAACAGGAAGATCCGAGGACTGGGGGCTCCTGGGGTAGCAGAGTTGGTTGGAACTAGGGCATCCCGTCACTGGTCACCGGTGTCCCGGCCCCAGGCGCGGCGGCTGACCTGACGCTGCTGGCCAACCTGCGCTTCACCGACCCCCAGCGTTTCTTCCTGACCTGCGTGTCCGGGGAGCCCGGGGCGGGGAGGGGCTCGGACGCCTGGGGCCCGGCCCTGCTGCTGGAGAAGGACAACCGCATCGTGCGCCCCCTCCCGCCCGGCCAGCCCCTGCACCTGGCGCGCAACGGCTCGCACCAGGTCACGCTGCGCGGCTTCTCCAAGCCCTCGGACCTGGTGGGCGTCTTCTCCTGCCTGGGCGGCGCCGGGGCGCGGCGCACGCGCGTCGTCTACGTGCACAACAGCCCGGGAGGTGAGCCTGGCCCACGGGGGTGGGGGGCGCCCAGGGGCCCGCCCGGACCGCTGACCCTCCGCTCCTCCCCGCAGCCCACCTGCTCCCGGACAAGGTCACGCACACAGTGAACAGAGGCGACACGGCTGTGCTTTCCGCACACGTGCACAAGGAGAAGCAGGCAGATGTGATCTGGAAGAGGAACGGTGAGGGGCTTTTGAACTGGTTGGGCAGGTAGACCCACGGTTCTGGCGCCCCAACACCTCTGTGGCCCTTAGGATACTCCACTTTGGCCCCTTACACAGCCATCCCCCTGATACATCCGTTTTACCCTCCTGGCCACCCTCCGCTGCCACTCCTCTGATCTGAACCAGGTCCCATGCAGGCACCGTCTCATCTCTAGCTAGAGCTGCCATCCTCCTATACTCAGAGGACCAGGGGCCTGTGATCAACTACCTCCTTCCCTGTTACCCCCAAATAAGCACTGTGTTAAACCCTCATCTTTGACTGTCCTCTAGGAGTTAGCAGGTGCTGTCACATAGCCCACCTGGTGGAGAGCAGCAGTCCCCATGGGGAAGAAGAGAACTGGTAACAGCTCCCAGCACAGGCGGGGCAAAGTCTAGCCTCTCCCAAAGATCTGCTCAGCCCAGATCCTTGATGCCCAAGACAGACCCGTGCTGAGTCCTGGGCAGACCTGTGGGATCCCAGCCCCAGGCCTGCCCTCCACCATGACAGTATCAGGCCCTTTGGCCACCCCATGAGAGGAAGCTGTTTTCCTTTATGACCCCAAAGATTCCTGACTCAGCCCTGATACCCACAACCCTTTGGCTGACTCTGGCATCCTTGAGCTCCTGAGGGAGAAGGACCCTTGCCTTGGGCCAAGGGGTTTGCCTCCTGAGCGCCAAGCCCCCTGAATTGACAGGAGATATGGAAAGAGGCAGGTAGACCTGGGTCTCTAGAGTCTGTGTTCAGTCCTGAGCAAAGAGCCAAGAAGGGAGTGGAGCAGGGACTCAGACACTTTTCTAATATTGGGATCTGCAGGTCCCAGAGGGAGAGGCTCAGGGGAGAGACCCCAGAGTAGAGAGACAGCACCTGAATTGTGCCCAAAAGGAGAAGTGGGGAGACAAAGAGGGAAGGATGAGCATTGCAGGAGGAAGGGCTGATAAGGGCAAAGGCGGGAGAATCCCAAATGCAGCTGTGTTTCCAGAAGAGAAGCAGTTCAGGAATGGCAGGAGTCAGCAGGGTGTGGGGAGGTGTGGGGCTAGAGGCCTCAGCAGTGGCCAAATGGTGAAAAGGGTGTGCTATGGAGTTGGCGTTGTCCTGAGGGCAGTGGAGAACTATGAGAGTTTACGAAGGCGAGTTGAGTTACAGAGGAATGTGTGGTAGAAAAATCCCACTGGCTGCTGAGTGGAGGACAGATGTGAAAGGGCAAGGCTGGAGGCAGAGAGCCTGCTTAAGAGGCCACTGGAGGCAGGGACCAGGGAGGTGGCGGTGGGCACGGGGAGAAGTGCACTAGCTTAGGAGATGAGCAGGAGGTAGACTGAACAGGACTTGGTGATTTACTGGGCGGTGAGAGGAGCACGAAGAAGAGGATGCTTCTGAGCTTTCTGGTTTGGGTACAAAGCTGTTGCTGGTACCTCCTCCAGGTCCGATCACTGTGCATGGGGCACACTGGTGTGACCTGGGTGGAGGTGGGCAGAGGGAGGTGACAACGGCCCTCCTGGGTGCTGAGGCCCTGACCTGTTTATGCCCCAGGTTCCTACATCCAAACCCTGGACTGGAAGGAGGCGCAGGAAAGACAGTTCCTGCTGCGGCTCCCAAATGTGCAGCCACTATCAAGCGGCATCTACAGTGCAACCTACCTGGAAGCCAGCCCCCTAGGCAGCGCCTTCTTTCGGCTCATCGTGCGGGGTCAGGGGCAGAGGGAAGAGGTTATGGGTGGGCATGGGGGGCTAGGAGCACTATGGGTACTTCCTGTGGGTCCCTTAGATCCCCTAGGTCCCTCTCATCGTGCGGGGTCAGGGGCAGAGGGAAGAGGTTATGGGTGGGCATGGGGGGCTAGGAGCCCTATGGGTACTTCCTGTGGGTCCCTTAGATCCCCTAGGTCCCCAGAGTTACCCCAGTCCCCCGCAGCAGTAGTCCAGTGGCTGAAGGTCAGTTGCTTTCCTCCANAGGCTCGCAGCCTCTCCATGTCTGGCCTGGATGCCTCACATGTCCTGCTTCAGCCATACCAAATCCGACAGTCCCTTCCCCATACCATAATATTCTTCATTCCGTGACTTTACCCAGGCTGTTCCCTCAGTCTAAAATGCCCTTTCCCGGGCCGGCCCGTGGCTCACTCGGGAGAGTGCGGTGCTGATAACACCAAGGCCCCGGGTTTGGAACCCATATAGGGATGGCCGGTTCGCTTGCTGGCTGAGCGTGGTGCTGACAACACCAAGTCAAGGGTTAAGATCCCCTTACCAGTCATCTTTTTAAAATAAATAAATAAATAAAATAAAATAAATAAAATGCCCTTTCCCTACTCCAGACCTCTCTCCACTGTGTCCTCAAGCTTTACCTCCCAGGAAGCATCTCTTCAGCCCGCTACCTCCCCCTTTGCTGGGTCTGATGCCCCTTCTCTGTGCTCCAAGCACAGCCCCCTGCACTTAGCAGCTATGTCCACGTCTGTCCCCCCAACAAGGCAGGGAGCTCTTTGGAAGGCAAAGACCAAGATCCACCTTGTTCTTGGACTCCTCTGTGTCCATCTAGGCCCCAGGCCTGCCTCCTGTCTCTCGGCCTGGCCCCAGCTTGCTTCATTTCTGCTCCACAACCACCTAGTTGCAGAACCCAGCCTCTCCCATCTTCGATCCCAGTGCGCAAAGCATTTCTAGATTTCTGTGGTGGTGAAGAGGGGGACCCTTCACAACACTTCTGTTCGACACTTCTGTTCAGCTCTCCTAGCCTGGACCCTGGAAGGTGGGGGGCGGGGAGAAGTGGCTCCCGGGCAACCTTTGCAGAGCAGTTTTAGAGACAAGTGGAGAAAGGGGACTGATAGGGAATAAAGCAAGGAAACAGAGACAGGGAGCATAGATCATTCTTTCCAAAGCTGGGCTGTAAAAGGAAGTCACCCGGCAGGAGAAAGGAGGGGATGTAGAACCAGAGAAGGATTTCTGGTTTTCTTTCTGGTCTTTTAGGATGAAGACCCTTGAGGGAAAGGGGCTAGTGCACATGGAAGGGGAAAGGAGGGGGATGGAAAAGCCTGATAAAGTGAAGTGCCTTTGGGGTCTTAGGGAAGGGCAGGGGGAGGAAGAGGGGTGAAGGTGGTGGACACTCTTCAGAAGAGGCGGTGGAACAGGAAGATCCGAGGACTGGGGGCTCCTGGGGTAGCAGAGTTGGTTGGAACTAGGGCATCCCGTCACTGGTCACCGGTGTCCCGGCCCCAGGCGCGGCGGCTGACCTGACGCTGCTGGCCAACCTGCGCTTCACCGACCCCCAGCGTTTCTTCCTGACCTGCGTGTCCGGGGAGCCCGGGGCGGGGAGGGGCTCGGACGCCTGGGGCCCGGCCCTGCTGCTGGAGAAGGACAACCGCATCGTGCGCACCCTCCCGCCCGGCCAGCCCCTGCACCTGGCGCGCAACGGCTCGCACCAGGTCACGCTGCGCGGCTTCTCCAAGCCCTCGGACCTGGTGGGCGTCTTCTCCTGCCTGGGCGGCGCCGGGGCGCGGCGCACGCGCGTCGTCTACGTGCACAACAGCCCGGGAGGTGAGCCTGGCCCACGGGGGTGGGGGGCGCCCAGGGGCCCGCCCGGACCGCTGACCCTCCGCTCCTCCCCGCAGCCCACCTGCTCCCGGACAAGGTCACGCACACAGTGAACAGAGGCGACACGGCTGTGCTTTCCGCACACGTGCACAAGGAGAAGCAGGCAGATGTGATCTGGAAGAGGAACGGTGAGGGGCTTTTGAACTGGTTGGGCAGGTAGACCTACGGTTCTGGCGCCCCAACACCTCTGTGGCCCTTAGGATACTCCACTTTGGCCCCTTACACAGCCATCCCCCTGATACATCCGTTTTACCCTCCTGGCCACCCTCCGCTGCCACTCCTCTGATCTGAACCAGGTCCCATGCAGGCACCGTCTCATCTCTAGCTAGAGCTGCCATCCTCCTATACTCAGAGGACCAGGGGCCTGTGATCAACTACCTCCTTCCCTGTTACCCCCAAATAAGCACTGTGTTAAACCCTCATCTTTGACTGTCCTCTAGGAGTTAGCAGGTGCTGTCACATAGCCCACCTGGTGGAGAGCAGCAGTCCCCATGGGGAAGAAGAGAACTGGTAACAGCTCCCAGCACAGGCGGGGCAAAGTCTAGCCTCTCCCAAAGATCTGCTCAGCCCAGATCCTTGATGCCCAAGACAGACCCGTGCTGAGTCCTGGGCAGACCTGTGGGATCCCAGCCCCAGGCCTGCCCTCCACCATGACAGTATCAGGCCCTTTGGCCACCCCATGAGAGGAAGCTGTTTTCCTTTATGACCCCAAAGATTCCTGACTCAGCCCTGATACCCACAACCCTTTGGCTGACTCTGGCATCCTTGAGCTCCTGAGGGAGAAGGACCCTTGCCTTGGGCCAAGGGGTTTGCCTCCTGAGCGCCAAGCCCCCTGAATTGACAGGAGATATGGAAAGAGGCAGGTAGACCTGGGTCTCTAGAGTCTGTGTTCAGTCCTGAGCAAAGAGCCAAGAAGGGAGTGGAGCAGGGACTCAGACACTTTTCTAATATTGGGATCTGCAGGTCCCAGAGGGAGAGGCTCAGGGGAGAGACCCCAGAGTAGAGAGACAGCACCTGAATTGTGCCCAAAAGGAGAAGTGGGGAGACAAAGAGGGAAGGATGAGCATTGCAGGAGGAAGGGCTGATAAGGGCAAAGGCGGGAGAATCCCAAATGCAGCTGTGTTTCCAGAAGAGAAGCAGTTCAGGAATGGCAGGAGTCAGCAGGGTGTGGGGAGGTGTGGGGCTAGAGGCCTCAGCAGTGGCCAAATGGTGAAAAGGGTGTGCTATGGAGTTGGCGTTGTCCTGAGGGCAGTGGAGAACTATGAGAGTTTACGAAGGCGAGTTGAGTTACAGAGGAATGTGTGGTAGAAAAATCCCACTGGCTGCTGAGTGGAGGACAGATGTGAAAGGGCAAGGCTGGAGGCAGAGAGCCTGCTTAAGAGGCCACTGGAGGCAGGGACCAGGGAGGTGGCGGTGGGCACGGGGAGAAGTGCACTAGCTTAGGAGATGAGCAGGAGGTAGACTGAACAGGACTTGGTGATTTACTGGGCGGTGAGAGGAGCACGAAGAAGAGGATGCTTCTGAGCTTTCTGGTTTGGGTACAAAGCTGTTGCTGGTACCTCCTCCAGGTCCGATCACTGTGCATGGGGCACACTGGTGTGACCTGGGTGGAGGTGGGCAGAGGGAGGTGACAACGGCCCTCCTGGGTGCTGAGGCCCTGACCTGTTTATGCCCCAGGTTCCTACATCCAAACCCTGGACTGGAAGGAGGCGCAGGAAAGACAGTTCCTGCTGCGGCTCCCAAATGTGCAGCCACTATCAAGCGGCATCTACAGTGCAACCTACCTGGAAGCCAGCCCCCTAGGCAGCGCCTTCTTTCGGCTCATCGTGCGGGGTCAGGGGCAGAGGGAAGAGGTTATGGGTGGGCATGGGGGGCTAGGAGCCCTATGGGTACTTCCTGTGGGTCCCTTAGATCCCCTAGGTCCCCAGAGTTACCCCAGTCCCCCGCAGCAGTAGTCCAGTGGCTGAAGGTCAGTTGCTTTCCTCCAGGCTGTGGGGCTGGGCACTGGGGACCAGGCTGTGCCAAGGAATGCCCAGGCTGCCTGCATGGAGGTGTCTGCCATGACCATGACGGCGAGTGTGTGTGCCCCCCTGGGTTCACTGGCACCCGCTGTGAGCAGGGTAAGGAGGAGGGGAGCTAGGACCAGTAGGAGGGGATGCCTGACTGGGGGGAGACCCTAGAACCATGGGGGATGGAGCTTTTAGGGTGAGGATGCCTGGTAGGTTCTGGACCCCAGGGCCCAGCAGAGGCCCATACACCCCCACACCCTCTTTCTAGCCTGCAGAGAGGGCCGTTTTGGGCAGAGCTGCCAGGAACAGTGCCCAGGCACATCAGGCTGCCGGGGCCTCACCTTCTGCCTTCCAGACCCCTACGGCTGTTCTTGTGGATCTGGCTGGAAAGGAAGCCAGTGCCAGGAAGGTATGGACTTAACCCCACTGCTGGCCACAATCTTGACCTGTACCCTTCACTCTGACCCTGATTTCCACACCTAGCCCTCCACAGTCCCCGTGCTCACCTGACAGTGCCCCTCTACTCATCCTGTTGTACAACCCTCGCCCCATCAGTGCCCTCATTGCCCCTCTAACCACACCTCATCTGTTCCAGCCTGTGCCCCTGGTCACTTTGGGGCTGATTGCCGCCTCCAGTGCCAGTGTCAGAATGGCGGCACTTGTGACCGGTTCAGCGGCTGTGTCTGCCCCTCTGGATGGCATGGAGTGCACTGCGAGAAGTCAGGTATGAGCGCCAGGGTCTCTGAGACCCCTCGACATAAGTCAGCCTTCACCAAACAACCTCCTTGAATCAGAAGAGACTTGCCCCTCCTTCCCTGTTAATGGTCCAAGTCCTGCCCTCAGGAATTCACCACTCAGCCATCCAGACGTGACGGGCAGCAGCCCAGAGTGCATGGGAGCCCAGAGGAGGCCCCTGACCAGTCTGAGCGGGTCAGGGAAGTCCCTGGGAGGAGGTGAGACCTGAGATAGGATATGAAAGACAGGAGAGAGATGGCTTGGGAAAGAGCGTGGGGAAAGTCCAGGGTTTGAGGACTCAGGCTTGGGCAGCAGGACAGTGGAGTAGGGGCCAAAAGAGGTCAGATCCTAGGGCCTTTGAATGCCAGGCCAGAGGGTTTGCACTTAACATGACAGGGGCAAGAGGGAATTGTTGAAGAGGTACTAGGTGGTCAGATTTGTGCTTGAGAAGGGACCCTTACTCCTGGGTGGAGAATGGAAGGAGGAGACCCTGGGGGAGCCTGTAACTGGGGACCAGAATGAATGCAGCCTAAACTAGTGTTTTAGCTGTGAGGATGGGGGGGGGGGCTGCTCACAGGTATCAGAGGATATTTGGAAGTGTGTGTTGGGAGGACATAGGAGGTGGACTCTACGGCTGCTCGGATCTGGGGCAGAGTGCTAGAAGAGTCATGCAGGACTAGGCTGGCTTCCAGACGGAGTCACTGGGTAGATAGTGGTGCCTCCACTGAGATGCAGAGCACAGGACAAGGAGCACCTTTGGTGGCCCCATGTCTGCCCCACGGGAGCTCCAGGATGAGTGTCCTCTCTCTCCCCAGACCGGATCCCCCAGATCCTCAACGTGGCCTCAGAACTGGAGTTCAACTTAGAGACGATGCCCCGGATCAACTGTGCAGCCGCAGGGAACCCCTTCCCAGTACGGGGCAGCATGGAGCTACGCAAGCCAGACGGCACCGTGCTCCTGGTCAGCCCCAATGACCCCTCACCCACTGGCCCCCCAATCCCACCAGCTTCACAGGTGATCCCTCAGAACCTTCCACAGGCCCTACGTGCTGGCCTGACCATGGCTCAAATGGTGTCAGGCTGATTGGTGAGGGGCTGCCACCAGACCTCTGTCCCATTGTCAGCCCAGACAGACAATGTGTACCTGCCACAAGGGTGCACATTCTCTGTGGTCTGTCCACTTCCCCTGTCTCTTTTAGTCCACCAAGGCCATTGTGGAGCCAGATAGGACCACAGCTGAATTCGAGGTGCCCCGCTTGGCTCTTGGAGACAGTGGGTTCTGGGAGTGTCGTGTGTCCACATCTGGTGGCCAAGACAGCTGGTGCTTCAAGGTCAATGTCAAAGGTCAGTGATATCCTGGGCCCTAGAGGATGAACAGTGAGCAGAGTAGGCACTAGCCGATGTTGCTCAGACTGGGAATCCTAGCAGGAAGGGCAAGGGCATCTAAGGTCACAGCCCAGAAATTGGCAACGAAGAGGGCTGTAGTCAACCAAGGGTCTGGACTGAGCAGTGCCAATACTGGGGCACAGCTTAGTCCCATCTGGAAAGGACCTGTCATGCTCCAGAAACTGGGGACACCCTCCAGACTCACCCTCCCTCCTGCCTAGCCATGCTTTCCAGCTTCCCCCATCACCACCACACACATACAAGTGTGCCTTTAACTCTGCCTCTGGAATGCCACTTCTGTGAGTCACCCCACACGGGCACTTAGTGCTGGGACAGGGGAGTGCATGGGGCTGTGGAGCTCAGACAGTAGCCTGCCTGGCTTCCCAGAGGTGGTGCATGCACAGGAGGCTGCCAGGTGAATAAGGAGGGAACACCAGTGCCCAGGACGGCTCAGAGCAGAGCACCCCCACCCTGGTCTAGGTAGCCCTTTACCTTCTCCAGCCTTGGCCATTCACACCCTGCCACCCCTTGGCCCTGCTTTCCCTCTGTTCTCTCTTACCATCCTCTCACTATCACACTGCGTCCCTGTTCCTCCCCAGCCCCCACCCCACTCCTTTACATCCCTCTCCACCACCAGGCTCCACCTCCAGCCTTTCTCTTCTCACTGTCTCTGGGCTTTGGACCCAGACGCCCTGGGTTTGAATCCTCTCTCTACAAATTCCTACCTCCATTACCCTAGGCAAATTACCTAACCTCTCTTAGTTTGTTTCTCTCTCTGTAAAATGGGGATATTGGTGCTTACTTGATAGGGTTACTATGAAGATTAAATTAGATGATGCACTTAAGCATTTAGCCCAGTGCCTGGCACAGGCTGTTTGCTCAATATATGTTGACAATTATTGTTAGTATTTAAAATGTCATCTAGTCCTGAGATTTCAATCTCATTCCCTGGCAATTCTGCAGCCAAGACTCTTTTCCTTACTCCAGACCCATCTGGTGGGACCTCCACAGCGGGGGGCATCTTCAGTGGGGGTCTGGTTCTGAAGTCGTGCCAGTTAACTGGTGTCTGATTCAGGGGCCCACTTTGTATCCAGCCACCTCCTGGACATCCAGTCCCCTGCATGAGCCGTGGCGACCAGGGGCTTCTCAGGATCCAAACTGGACCTTCATCTCCCCCCAAATCAGCACCTCCTGACATTCTCATTGCTGCCTGAAACCCCCTTAGCTCACAACCCTGCGTCCTCCTTGACTGACCTTCCTTCCTTCCTTCCTTTTATCCCTCCTTCCTTCTTTCTGTCCTTCCATCCATCCATTCATCCTTATTAGAAAGTCAACCTAGTAAACGCTTGAGAGAGGCAAGGGAACCCATTAAGGCATTAATGCGAGAATCTGGAGAGAAAAGCTGAGGCTATAACAGGGGCAGTGACCATGAAGGGAGGACACCGGGTGGGAACACAAAAGCTGTTTGGGGGTAAAATCCATTGATTTGAGGTGGCCCGGTCAGACAGACCTGGTTCAAACCCTGGCTCTATCTCCTAGCTGTGTGTCCTTAGATAAGTTATACAATGTCTCTGGGCCTGTTTCTTTGTTCATAATACAGAGGTAATAAGCTCTGTCTGAAAGGTAGTTGTGAGAACTAGAGGTCATGCGTATGAAGTATCAGGGATGAGCAGGTGCCCATCACTGGCACCTTTTTATTTTAATTAAGAGAGTGGTGAAGGGAAGGGGCAAGAACAGGGCAACACCCAGGTGTTTCCCAGCCTTGGGTTCCAGCCTTCTGTCTACCCCACACTGCATGGGCAGAGTGCTCTCCCCCAGACCCCTGGCTGGCCATGTCACTCCCTCACTGAACAGCTTTTGGGACACCCTCATGCCCGTAATGCCGAATCCCCATTTCCCAAGCTGCCCAGGGGCCAGAACTCTATCTTCCCTGGGCCCTGACCACTCTGGTCATCTGTTGAATTGGTCTCCTCCCAGCCCAGAGGGTCCCCAGATCCACACAAAGACCCAGAGGTGTCTTTAATGCCCAGAGCACAGTGTCCTCTCCTTTTTCTGAGGACTGGAGAGGTGATTGAGCCATGCCTTACTCGAGTCTCCTGGCAGTGCCCCCAGTGCCCCTGACTGCACCGCGGCTCCTGGCCAGGCAGAGCCGCCAGCTTGTGGTCTCCCCGCTGGTCTCATTCTCTGGGGATGGACCCATCTCCTCTGTCCGCCTGCACTACCGGCCCCAGGACAGCACTGTGGCCTGGTCCACCATTGTGGGTGAGTGGGGAAGAGCTGGGGGACCGAGGGGGGTTAAAGCAGGACAGGGGTGTCGGGCAGTGATGAGGGGATAAGGTGAGAGTGGAAAGGGAGGGAGGATGGTGTCAGGAGAAGACAGGGGCTGTGGGGAGAAGGGCGGCTTGAGGAAGAGGTTGGGGCTGAGTGCTCTGTGCTGAACCCCCCACCCCAGTGGACCCCAGTGAGAATGTGACCTTAATGAACCTGAGGCCGAAGACAGGATACAGTGTCCGTGTGCAGCTGAGCCGGCCAGGGGAAGGGGGAGAGGGGGCCTGTGGGCCTCCCACCCTCATGACCACAGACTGTCCTGGTGAGAGGCCAAGAGGCATCACTTCCTGTCCCTGAGAAGTTATTGTCCTGCCCACTCAGGGCTGTCATGTCTTGTCCACCCCAGGTGCCCCTGCCTTTCCCATTGGAGGTTGCCCCACCCTGTCCACTGGGTCCGTCCCATCCAGCCCCAAGGGTCCAGTGGACAGTTCTGACCCCTGACCTCTGGCCCCAGAGCCCTTGTTGCAGCCATGGCTGGAGGGCTGGCATGTGGAGGGCCCTGACCGGCTGCGAGTGAGCTGGTCCTTACCCTCGGTGCCTGGGCCACTGGTGGGCGACGGTTTCTTGCTGCGCCTGTGGGACGGGGCGCGGGGGCAGGAGCGGCGGGGGGA